ATAAGTCTTTCCCCTCGCCATCTCAGTTGCAGATGTCTGAATGAGACACTTTCAGAGACAGATGGGTAATGGGTCACATCCTCAGCTTTTCAATATGCAGGTGGTCCAATCAGATCACAGGAAGAAAGCCGACAGATATGGAGACAGAAATAGTCTAAAAGATAGAAAACCAAAACATCAGACATTACTGCATTGGGCAGTAAATCAGAAAATCTTCTCCACTTTAAATTACACATCTGCAATGCAGCATCAAATGCTCAAACCTTGCTTTGACCAGTCTTTTGACCAGTGAGAGATGCGCCTGTTTTATTTTTTGACACCCTGCAAGCCTGCCAATTTACCTCACACGTTTACCCCAGCAGCAGAGCACGTGGAAAACATGGACGAGGACAGACTTTTCAGGCAGAGAAACATCCTGCCTCTATGGTCGCTCCTGCAAGAGAAATGAGTAATAACTGCTCTTGCAAAATGAAAAGTTGAATTCATGGGCAAAAAAAACACTTTTGCTCAATCAATTACACGACCTTGCTTGGCCTGGTATGACCAGTAGCTTATACCGGCTAAGGCTGAATTCAAACGAGATCAGGCGCTGCAGTGAAATCGCAGGTCCTGGGCGTAGTCGTTTCGCCTCGGCAGTGGGGACCACTGTGGATGTCAAAAAAAATGCTGCAACCTGCGGCGGCAAACAGAAACCACTTTTGAGAAACACAACCCGAAGAAACGCAACCTTGTGTAATGCTGCAATGGCCACAGAGCTCCACAGAAATATCACTGAAACCAGGCGCTTACCAGGTGGAGTTCATGGACCAACTACAATATTCTCCCAGATGTGTGCTCATTTATTTTGTGTACCCAGCTTTGATGCCTTACAGTTTTTGTTGACAAATAGTGATGCCAAGAAGCTTCCTTTTGTTTGTGTTCATTTGTCTGAGAGAGAGAGAGAGAGAGAGAGAGAGAGAGAGAGAGAGAGAGAGAGAGAGACGCAACGCCTGATGAGGGCTGTGGTCGAAAAGTCAAAAAAATGTCCTTTCCTAACCACCTTTCCTTGACCTCGATGGAAAACGTCATGAGGTCAAGGAAAGATGTGAAGGTGAATCCGTAAGGACTTAGGAAAAGAGGACGGCGGGTCTAAGAGAATCCGACTGCTCTTTTCTAAGCAACGTAATTATGTGACGCCGGATTTTACTGCCGTGACCTGCCGTGATGAAACTACAATGCTCTGAAGATGGACTAGAAAAAGCGCATCTTCGACACTGCGCCACATGTTGTTGTAATGCAGGCCATCTAAAGGTGGAAAACACGGTGGAATATATTACTTAATAACCAAGATAGCAAAAAGGCAGATAAGGTAGCCTACTAGTCACTAAATAATGGACAGGGTTGTCAAGTTGAGAATGCTTGCTTACACTCATCCTCCTGCCCACCCATACGGGTATCAACATGAATCCCAATTGTATGTAAATACAGTTTTTCCCACAGAATGACAACGCAACCGTGCTGAGAGATAGAGAGAGAGAGGGAGCGACGGAGCGAGAGGAGAATTCTGTGAGAATATATGCGCTGTGCAGCGCTCTGTCATCAAATACGATTTCAAATTTTTTTATTGTAGAAAACACTTAATGGCTTATTTTTACAACCCGAAACGGTGTTAAAACAGTATTAGATTACAAAAAAGCCAAAAATAAAAAATAAAAACAAAAGAAAGAAGGTAATTGTGAGTCTTATTAAAGTATCATAATGTGCGTCTGTATTGCAAGGATCTTGCTAAACGTGGTTGATGGATTTTATCATTTGACTTTGAGAACGTGCGCCGCTTTCAATGTTGCCGCCGCAAGGAATTGTGGGACGGCATTCTCTCCTTTCCTTTGGTAAAGGATGGTCTGGTGTACCCTATGCTAAAGGAGATATGAAAGGAAGCATTGAGGCACCTTTCCTCAGCTTTTATAGAATTCGAACAGCTCTTATAATGGCTGCCACTGAAATACCGGTTCACTTCACTCAGTGAGGAACCTTCCTAAGCGAAAAAGACTTTTCGGACGTAGCCTTGGTCTGAATATCGCCTAATGCTAGCTAATGTTAGCAAACTTTAGGTAGATATTGCTGTATTAACGGAAGAGTAATTTTGCTCCCGTAATAACTCTTTCCTGCGTGTTCTACTTTTTCACCATTATTAGATATTAGATAACCGTCACTTTTAGCCACAGTGGCCGCTCTTTTCAGAAAGAGAGGGTTTTGGAGGGCAACGGCTATGGAGGTGAACCTGTGCTGTGCTTATGTTTTCTTGCTTTTTACTTTACTCGCATTCTCGCGAACAGCTGCAAAAAATCTTACATCTCACCCTCTACCAAGTGTACAAAACAAGCTAGTTGTTTGTCTATTCTATTGGTTTGGATGCTCTGATTTGACAACAGATCAATCAGTGCAGTCTGAGCAGGTTAATGCTCAAAATACAACATGGAGCACTGCATGTTATACCTAAATGTGATTATTTACATTCCTCTTGACTGCATTTTCCAAAACTGTGAATGCATAATTTATAGGCAGGAAAGTGACTGGAAATAACTACTTGTTCTTTCTGCCAGTTTCCTTGATCTCAAAAACTCCTGCAGTCACACTAAAAAGTCCCATAACACAGAAAAAAGGTATGCAAATGTCAACTTTTGCAGAATAACAACTATAACTCAGTATGTGTAAAATTCCCTCTTCAGCACAAACCTGCATACCTAAAAGAGAACAAGCAGCAACTAAAGGTAAAAAAAGAAAAGGGGGGGGGGGGGATCTCTAGGTTTAAAAAACATCATTTTTATCAAGATTGCTCACAGGAAAACACACACTGCATAAGATGGAAAGATGCAACGGTTGCAGACAGCTGTGTACTCGAGGAAGATACCTTTACAAAGGTGAGTCTGCGGTTTGTTGATTGCCATCATAAAATAACAGAGCTTCAGGCTAATGTAGCTTACTGAGGAAGTGCCTCATGCTCCATCAGTTTTTCATTACCACTTCACTCAGGTCTTAGGACCAGTCAGTACTGGTAATTACTGATGCCACGCTAATCTTTCAAGATCCATAATCAGCTGTTTTTCCACTTGAGGAAACTAACAACACCACCTCCAACCCACCCACACACACCCTTAGCAATACCCCTGTTCCTCCCAGTCCATTTCTCTGTTGACTCAGCGGTGCAAGCCACCATCTTAATGACACGATCGGATGCACGTTGACTTCAAAAGCCGTCGTCTCCCAGCACAAACCACAGGTACGAGGGAAGAGCTTTATGTGACCAGATTGTCCAAGGATGTTGTATCCTTTACACAGAATTGTTGTAGGATGTTTGGGAATTTGACAGACACATTTATTCATATTCCACTTTAAAAAAAATATTATTATTGTTAAATGTTATTCACATTTGGTTCCTTTGAAAATACTGCTGCACATGACTGAAATGGCAGGCGATCCCTTAAGAAATGTTGACAAGCTAATTATCGAGTAGCCCTGTCACAAGCGGGCAGAGTTTAAAAATAAAGTTCACACCACCCTCATTATGCAAACAATCGCAGTCAGTAGTGCAAACCTCGCACCCCTATAGACTACAGCTGGCGGACTTTAACACAACAAGGCCACGCTCTCAGTGTGTGAGACAAGAAAGTTTGAGGGTTGTGAAAGGCGTGTGAGAATATCCTGTCTAACAAATCCAACGTATCCAAACCAAAACCAGGGAACATAAAATGAGAAAGATGATACAAACAGCCTCAGATCACTAGGAAATATCAGTTACATTAACTGTTCATTAACACGCAAGAAGATGCTAAAAACAAAGCTTCTGTTTATGCTTCAGCCAAAAGATGTTACCCATGACGTTGCCCTCTGTGAAGACAACAATCTGGTGCTGAGGAGACACAGGACAGAAAGCCAGCAGCCCCACCATCACCACACACACACGCGTGCACACACACACACACACCTCATCTCCTTTGCACAAGCACCACACTGAGGTCCAATCGATGCAGCTCATTCATATTGAACCACAGACGTCAGGGGAAGCCGGGGGAATTACAAGCAGCCTCCGCTGTGAGATATCAGCCTAGAGGAAGCCTGAGGACGACAAAGCCAGCTACACTCTGGAAACCTGCTGTTTACTGTCCACGGCATCTTCAACAACCTGGCTACTGGGTCTCGACACTGCATTTTTGCCCCGAGGTGAGGAGTACTGGAACCAGACTGTAAAAAAAACAATCTGCCACGTTTTGGGGATATGTATTTGAAGTCATTTGACTGAGAAAATTTATCATTTGACCCCCAGTAGAAAGCTTTCTACAGTGCTTTATAGTAGCACCAATATACACTCTGTTAACATATAGCAGAAAACAACTATCCAAAATAACGTTTTGTTTGATTCTTTTTTAATTGCATCCATATTTCTTCTGAAAAACAATAACTTACCAACTTAGGATAACTGATAATTCACTGGTACTACTTCAGCTGAGCAGCGGGGTCCGATCGAACCACTGTGGGCCACCACCGACCTCCCTCCTCAAGTTTGTTTGTGATCACTTGATTACATTCAGATTTATTAAAGAATATGTCCCGTGTAAAAATAATACAGAAATGCTAAAAGTATTAAAACTTTTTTTTTTTTTTTCAACATGTAGACTTGGCCACCTCCTGAAACAGGGATGAGGTGAATGCACAGGCCTTAGTTAAGAGGCACTGTCTCCTCACTTTCCCTGACACAGTCACTTTGACCTCAATTAATCCCAATGATGGTTCCACATGAACACAAACAGAAGCAAGCACAGCCCATTTCAAAATTAAACCAACAACTGGAGGAGAAATATCTCATGGTTCATAAATTCACAGTCCAAAGCAGGGAGAGGAAACATTAAAAGCCAGACAACTGCTGAAAGCAAATGCCCCCACAAGCCTTCAACTGCTCCTAATGGTCCATGACTAGTCCAGCATCAACAAGCCTTCATCTCTCTTTCACAAAGACAACTCACCAGTAACTTCTGCTTTACCCTTTCTTGGCTCAGGGTGTTGGGGCTGAGTCTCAGAGGTGCGCCGTTGTCCTCTAGAAGATGAAAACTGTCCAAACGCTGCACACCTGGGTGCTGGAGGGGCAAAACATCATTTCTCAGCTGTGGGGGGGGGGGGGACAAAATAGCAGAAAAGCGGCAAGTCAATTAAAGCATTTCAGTCAAATTTAAATAGTAGTATTAGTATTAAAATAGTTAATATATTTTCACAGTGTAACAAAAAAGTTATACTATGTATATATCACTATAACTATGGCAGTTGTAGATTTTGATTGTGCAGTTTTCGGCTAACTTATTCCAAATAACCCTTCACCACTGCTGCTGGTGATGAAATCTGCTAGCACACTCCCTTTCTAAGTGTAACTGAGTGGCCGCTCACAGCCAGCAGGTGGTCTGAGTGGGAAAACAGCTAAAAGCTACACTCCTGCAGTGCAAACAGTATGTCCTCCCTTCACCGATCTTCACAGGTTTAGTTTGACAATACAAGGAATAAAGTGTCTACTGGACTACCTGCCCACCTGCTGCTTTGAGCAAATGTTGAACACAGCACTTCAATAAACTTTGATTGGAGAATAAAGTCACTGGTGTGAAATTAAGTAAAAAATCACACTCACACGATAAAAATAAAAATATCTGTAAAATCAGATAAAACGTCCTGACAGGCTTGTTAATCTGTGCATGAAACAAGACATCAACTGATGGGTATAGTAGTCAGATGCTTCACACAGCTCTGTTTACTAACATCCCAAAATCTGCAAACAACCAAGAAACATGTTGACCTAGTGTATCAATGAAAAATAACACTTAAGCACTCATTCAACCAGATACTTACAAACCCACACAAGTATAAGATGCCAACAAGGTAAAATAACATCCTCTCTCCATGTTCAACCACTTAGCCAGCAACGCTGATAGCTCTACCTAAACTGCTTGTTATTGCCAAGCTAGTGGAGCTGGCTGGAAATAATAATGCCCCCTATTAAATTATTCATGGCTCCAGTCAGGTGGAACCAGATGCTGCTTTTGTGTCAGAGGGAGAGCTGTAACTCGACTCAAGCATGGAAGGCCATCGCTGCATGGAGGTAAAGACCTCATGGAACAAGCATGGATGCTGCTGGGGCTACAAACAAAAACACAGGATGCCATGATACACACTTTGCTGTTCACATGTCTCCTGCAAGTGTTCAGACAGAGGATGATGGTTCACTAGGTTGGTCCAAATGTGGGCGAGGCCTGAGGTGCCGCTTACAGTTCACCCACCCTGTGTTGGTGTCGCTTTGTACCCCACCCTGACATTTGTGGCTATGGCCAGAAGATGACCTTTTTTGTCCATGCCACGCTTTAGTGCTGAATACTAATGCTATGGTGCTGTGTGACCGCCACTCATGGGAACAAGCAGTGCTATTTTTAGCCACATGTCCCCAGCTGCACATCGCCAACCTGGGGCCAATGGACAATTAGTGTTTGTTTCTAATGGCGGGAGGCATTGCCGTAACCTCCCTAACGCAAACAGACATCTGGACATAGGCTGTCTCTGTCCTGCCCCATACCCCTGCCACAAAGCACGGCTCCTAAAGCCATGTAGTCCTTCACATCCACCTCAACCTTCATGCTCTTAATTGTCAGAAATTTGTGAGTAATGCCCACCACAATTTTCTGAAGCCTACTGTGATGTCTTCAAATTGCTTATTTTGTCTGACCAACAGTTTAAAATGAAAAACTATTACATTTACAATAATACAAATCAGTGAAAAGCATCTAGGTAATGTTCACGTCAATGAAAAATTACATTTAACTGATTTTCAAAATAGTTGCCTTTTTATTTTCTGTTGAATAACTAAATCAATTATTTGACTAATGATTTCGCTTACAGTTAATTATGAGAAGAAACATTCACAAACATTTCATCTCTGTGTACTTGACAGGCCAGCTCAGACACGCACACAGTATCTGCTTGACATTTCAGAGCTCATTATTTGTGATAATTGTCAGGGCCGACGGTAAGCTTTCTGTTTTCATCTATATTAGGACAAATGTTCCATGCAGGCATGTCTAATTAAGCAGAATTAGACACTGTTTGTTATTCCAGCATACAGGCATTTGCACAAATTCATGTTGGGCTGTAGTCCTGGACTGTCAGCATCTCAAAGATAATACAGTATATTATGATATATATGGCTAAGTGGATATAATGAGCCAGTTTGGGAGTCTCTATGTCATGACGCTCTCTTTAAATCATTTTAGTCAGGGCAAAGCTAATTCAATCCACCTTATTACAGCTTTTTTATGCAATTAACCTGTGCCCCTATTCATTGATGGGCCAGCATGGAGGCAGTGGATTGGACAGCAGGCTTACAAACTCCACAGAGACCTATAACATAGAACAATGTAGCGTGCCCTATCATACAGTTAACAAAGATGACTTACTGCAAAAAAAGGGAGTCACTGTGCTGCAGCACCCACTGCACAGTAATCTGTGAAATTCCACTTGATCGGAACATTAGAATCAATTACATCCCCACATAAACACAAAGCATTAACTCTGGAGCACACTAGCATTACATTAATCATCCTCAACATCAAAAGTGCTGTAGAAACAGAAAGTGTGCCTTGTACTGACTGGCACAGTGTGTCTGTAGCACTGCCTGCCAATAATATGTTATCAAAGAGTGTGCAATTAACCTCCAACATGGTGGACAATACACAGAGTAGAGTGTGTCTCGATAAAGGACATGAACATTGGACATGGTGTTCAACAGCCACCTCAGACATCAGAGGATCCCGCTCTTGTTTCCTACTGTTGTCAACTGTAAGCTGAACAGATGAAATTAAACAGTGTTCACATTACTCTGTATCTTGGCTTTTTAGCAAAATTTAACTTAACAAGTTATATTAAACGATGCCACATTAAACTGAACAAAAATAAAATATGAGAGCAGTGTGAACATTGCTAACACAGTAAGCATAACCTGTAAGCAGAAAGGTAGAGACAGACAGAGGCCGAGATTGAACCTGTGGAGATAAGCTTTTTTATTACAAAGCAAATCCCGACAAATAATCATCACTGCCTGTGGATTTTGGCAAGATCCACATAATCATCTCCAACCCCCGCCCTCTGGGGTGATCGTCCACCTTTCAGTACGGATCCAAACAGCCCTCCACCTCACTGAGCGTACAACAAACACAGACTTACTGACAGCTTAGAGAGAGACATAAAAAAAATTCTAAAATTATCATAAATAATTATGTTTTATATACTTTGGGTTTTACAAGTTTTGTCAGTCGAGCCTGGCTAGTGCAAACTGAAATCCTGTTGGTGTGAAAGAAAGGTGCTTTGCCTTAAGAGTCCTACTTCTTCTCCTGCACTGAAATCCTATAAAGACAATCAATTACCTGTCCATAATAGTGTAACACCGATCAAGTTAATGCATCAGCGAACACGTTGTACTAGCCATGCAAATGTCAACTGCAACAAATGAGAAGTTTATCACATCTGTAGATTGGAGCATAAAAATAGCATCACACTAACAACAAACCGATACTACTGACTTCTAGGGGCTCATCTAATCTCATGCTGTTTAAACCAGATCAGTGTTGTCCATCTGACTGAGTGAACATCTCTGATCAACTCCAGGAGCAATCAATTATGAATGCAGTCAGATCCCTGAGGTGATTACTGGCTACTCTCCTCTGACCTCCAGTGAAGTCAGCTGCCAGTCCCTCACCCACCCCCACCCCCAGCCGTCTCAGCCCGACCACAGCAGTCAGTCAACCTGCTGACATGACGACAGCTGGCACTACACCTCTACTTACATTACATTTAAGCTATGGCACAAACATGTACCTGCATGTAAGCATACACACGGACATATCTAAAGTTACAAACTGCAACACTCAGACACTGCTGTAATGACACGTGCAAGTAGATACACTTAACAACGTAAACAAATATACTGAAAATTTGTGTCAAATCTTGTCTAGAGGCTTAAATAACACACTGGCATTAAATCTGCCCTCACACGAAAATACCCTCAGGACACACAAGAGACACATGCATGCTTTGTCATGCACAGGACAGTCCAACAACCAGAGCAAGTGATGCAGATGCTGACAATGATAATGCACTTTCACTCTGCTGTCACTGAGTCTCCTGGAGCCATCTTTACAGAGATTTCCCAATGAAGATGCTGTTATGTAACAGCGGCCGTGGACCCTGCTGTTCATATCACTAATGCCTCACACTGTGACGGGGTCACGTGCTTTATCCAGGCCACATCCAGGCGCCAGCAGCAGCAGTGTTCCAGCTGTTACTACAGCCTAGCTTCAGTCACTCAGGACCATGCTGAGCCATGCTCCTCTCACACTGATACAGTACATCCTCCACTGAGCAGCCATGTTCATGTAGCCGCTAACTGTGTCACCACCCAAGGTTACAAACTCAGTGTTGCACAATGTGATAACCATTTTTATATAGACCAGCTTCAAACAGGACTTGCAAATTACTCTTAGCATTAGCAACGCCACAAACACATGAGGTTTACATTAACAATGGATCAAATATTTACTGGTATGTGAAAGGGGCCACTTTTAGTGATGAACACACAGAGAATTATCACCCATCTCTGTAGTTCCTCTCACTTCTACTGAGTATTTTAGCGAGATTTAGCTCATTGTTTTGGTTGTACAGCCTACGGCTTTACTGGTTAGTGGTTGTGTCCACACATTTTTCTGACTGCCAGTGTCTTTTATCAGTCGTTCACAATGAGAAGAGCAGCATGTGGCTGCCTAGAGAAAAAGTGTTGCACCCAGTGTCTTTTTTCAGAGCCCTTCAAGTTCGTTTTGTGTGGCCACTCTGAGCGCTTCTGGTTGAAAATCTCTGATATGATAAAGAAAATCTGTATATGGCCACAAGCCCTTAGTTCACTCTCAGTGCTCCCGTCAGCGTAATTTCCAGACACAGCAGATAATTTCCAGCAAGACTATGTCTAGTGGGTGTGTAAATAAGAAACTGTTCGGTAGCAAGCTCACCATATTAACTAAAAAGGTGAAAATATGTCAGTTTTGTCTTCACATTGTGTTTCCACGGCCCCAAGTGCAG